TGGAGACAGAGCACTGTTTATAGTAATGCTATTCACCACTTTGCATGGAGTTGTTCGGAGGGAAAATCCTTGATTTTCTGACTGCATTAGTCTTGCCAATTACGTGATATTTTTAGCTTTTAACCTTTTATCTAAAGGGCCCGGTGTAAAAGTTTCTGAGTAGAAAAATTTGGCACTGAAAATTGAAACATAGAATGTGTGCAAAACCACTGCATGTCAAAGCAGTTTGTAAACTGTTGAGTTCTACCTGTATTTGTACACATCCGAGCTTAGCTCAGTGTACTTTTAGCAGATCTTTCATACTCTTAATTGCAGTTTTTGTTAATCTACACTTTTGATGTGGTTTATTTCTGGATTAGGCTGTATGGTGGAACAAGCTGCTTCCTGAACTTTGCAAGAGAGCTAGACTTGCTGGAAACGACTGCCCTGTTTTTATTTCATCACTGAAAGGTAAATCAGTGGATTGCAACTCAACTCCAGAAGCCTTTGTATGTCTTCTGACGTTTCTAAATACTCTTCAGTCTAAGGACTACTGATGTGATAATTTGGAAGGAAAAGGGACCTTTTTCTATAGTTAAAGCTAATAACAGCTCAGCAGGCTTTCTAGTTCTTAACATAGCATTCTGCAAAGTACAGTGTGTTGCCTCATATCAAACGCGGGGCATTCATTTTGTTTCAAAAACAAATTGTTGAAATCATACTGTTTCTATATAGGTCAAGAAGAGACACCATTATAAAACTTATTAAATAGAGCTAATGGATAGTAATTGTTTGGTTGGGGTTTTTTCCTAGGCTAAGTGACTGTATGGTAGTAAGGAATGACAGCTAACAGGCTACTATTGACAACCCAGTGGGCGTTTAGGTGTGTATTGATGATCAGGTCATAGAGTGAAAAAAACACAATGTGTTACTACTAGAAGTAGAGAAACAAACCCTGGTAGTAGATGTAGTCTTATTGATATGTTAATAGGACATTAATAATACTGTGTATAGCTGAGGGGCCAGTGTGTTTGTTTTGACAGAATACAAAGATTGCATAAAGCACATATTTTTTTAAAATATAGCAATCTAATGCCAGAGGGCAGAAAACCAGCATCACGGGGTTGCATTGTGCAGCACAGGTCGCCATGCTCTGTCATAAAGTTCTAGTTTCTAGCGATAGCAGTTTTTCTTTTGAAGCATTGTTTTCATGTGGTCGCTGTGCTGTAATCTGTTAAGAAGATAATGTTAAAGCAGCTTGGTCAGGTCGGACAGACAGGCTGCTTGCAGAACATCCCGTTTTACAGATAGCGCTGAGTTAGGGTACTAGTATAGATTTCCAGGGCTTCCTTTGTGTTTAATACAAAACATGTGAAGTACTAGATCAGACTTCTGTAAGTATTAGTGCCCCATTTAGACCTGATGAGTCACGACAGAGGTATGGTTTTAACATAGGATCATTTCAGTTTATTTTTCAGATTTACTACAGCTGTATTTGCTCCCAAATTGGTGTGTCTCAACCATCATTCCAGTTGCAATATTTAGATAATTTGATTACTTCAGTTAGTAATGATATTGTTAATATTTTTTCATTTCTTTGTACTAAAACAAAAATACCTAACCAAGATTTTTCTCCTGTGCTCTGAGCAGAAACTCTATCAGTTGTTGCAATGGAACTGGAACTAAGAGATTTCCTCAGTTTTCTACCAGAGGATGGAACTGCAGCATTTTTCCTGCCACATCTTCTTCACTGCAGCCAGAGGAAGGTGCTGACCTAAAACAATGGAAGTCTGCTATGCACTCAAATACAAAGACTGTGCTAGAATAAAAAAGTAAATGAAACACAGCTACATATAAGGTACTCCCCTCACATAAATCACCTTATTCCTCAGTTGAAACCTTACGAAGAACTATTGAGTGACAGCTATTGTCTGAGGCAAAGATCTGTTTTGAAGCTATTACTAGTACACTCCAACAACAGTCAACAAACCAGAATTTCTGCCAGGTAGAACTGAATGGTAGTTGGTTGGACTGGTAAAAACATAACTTTTCAAACTGGTAGGCAGTATCACATGTCTTCTCAAGGAGGGTGAACTTACAGCCAAAGCAGCTAAATAATACAGACTGTACAGTACAATTGGACATACGATGTTCACTGAAAGTAAAGCAGGAAGTCAGACTTAATTCTGTGCTACTTAGTTGGATCGCTGACCAAGGAGGAAGAGTTTAAGCTCAGGCACAGGTCTAACTGTGTGAGTAAAAAGCAAGTGCCTTACTCTTCTAAGTGGAATTGGGCGCCGCTTCATTTTGCAACATAGACATTCCCTTGAATTCCAGTTGGTAAACCCAGTCAGCTGTTCTGGCATCTTAATTACATACCCATGCAAGCGTTGCACTGAAAATGTTCTCATTTAGCAGTTCACAAAAAAAGGCCGTAATGACAAAGGGCTTCAAAGAGAAACAAGCGTTTCCAAGGGCATGGAAGATACAGACTGCTGCTCGTTTTCTCTCTGTTTTCTTTCTTCTGTTGTACTGAGTCAGTAGAAAAATACTTGAAGTATCACTAGGCCACAAATCCAGCTGAAAACTCTTTACTACTTCTAGGTTTTTTGGTAAACTTCTCAGGTACTTGTGCATGTACATACAAATGTTTGTCTTTTGTGCAGAAACTATCCTTCTGTTCCTTCAGCTGTAATTCAGTCATAATAAACCGTCATTATGTTTATGACCTTCTTACTAGTGCAGTTTGGTCTTTCGAGGATCTACCCCAAATAAGACAATGACTCCATGATTCCATAACCATCTAAAGGCTTAATTAGCTTACATTGCTCTATGAAATCCCTTTTTACTGAAGCTGTAATGCTACTTAATGTAGAAGACAGTCAGAAGAGATCATCTACAATGCAAATACATTTAAAAAAAAAAAACAACAAAAAAACCCAGTATCATTTCTGTGTAGCATCCCTGCTACAACCAAAGTCAGTGATCTGGTTTACTAGTAGGAATTATACTGGTTTCAGTAGAATCTTTCTACCCTAAAAAATGCCAAAGCGATTTTGGCCTGTTACAGAAAAGCAACTACTTACTTCGTTTGGGTAGCTGTAAATTACAGCCTAGTATTTTCCTTGCCTGCCTGTCCCGTAAATCCTTCTCTCTTGCTTGGCACAGGTCTAACAGATGTGGAGTTGGGCTATTAAAACACACAACGGATGGTACAACAATACCTGCTCTTACTGCTTTCCTTTTTGACCAATTCAGTCATGCACCAATACTGCTGCTTCCATCTGTCAAGAAATGCTTAACTGGCCTAGGTCTGCCCTACATAACTAAAAGCAAAATGATTCCACTACAGGAGTTGTCTAAGATGCATCAAAACAAAGCTCTTAGGTACAGTAGTCACCAAATTTTGCCCTTCACTGTCTGAATTTTACCAGCCTTATTTCAGCATAATTTTGTCTGTCTTGTAATTATTTTTGTAACAGAAAACCAAAACCATCTTGTGCAACCATGATCCCTCAGCCAGTGCATGTTTTAAATTTACAGTCATGAAAGAGGTTACTGGATAAAATGATAAAATAATTCAACAGAAATAATAGAACTATTTTGTTAGGTGTTCAGTTACATGATAGTGTGTGTGTGTATATATATATATGTATATATATTTATATATGAAGTGTGAACCTATGGATAAAGTGATAATTAAATTGCTATTTTGAAAGCAATAGCTACTGGTATATTTGGCCAGTAAAATATGACAGCAGATACCCAAAACAATTCTTCCTGTTACATAGGGTTATTTACAAACTTTTTTTTTAAAAAAAGTACTTTTCATTTCACTCTTCCGTGTTCCTCAGCAGTTAAATAACATGCACTAGGCATCACCTAGAATGTTTAGCTGGCAAGTTACTATTTTTATTTAGAGAAAAAGATACTTAGAAGCTGGTTTATCCAATCAGCCGTCTTAGTCTACAGCACATTTGTTAGCTGTGGACCACCAAATGAAATCTTCCAAAACACACATGGAAATGAATTGTCCAGGAGATGGTATGTCTCAGGAAATGCTTCGCTGAAGGTAAACCTTGGAGAATCACTGTGGTAAAATGTTTTCGTCATTCTAGTGTGCCCGCTGTACCTCTACTCTTAAACTGATCAAATAATCTTGGTAACAAAGACTGTTTTTCTGTAAGGGGGAAAATAATAGCTTTTGTTACACGTATTTCATCAAAAGAATAATAGTCTGTCCACTCAGAGTCTGAGTCCCAAAATTAGAGCTATGAATCCTACTGCCTTCAAGGTATTGTGTAGTAGATTTTTGAACAGCTTTAAAATGCACTGAAGGGTATATTTTAATGCACTGTAGATAGCTGGTTGTAAAAAATCGAACATACTGCTTCTACAAATTAAAGTCTGTTTCTGCATCTCTTTCTGTGTACCCTTATGTCAAACTTTTTATTACGTGTTCTGTAAATCTCAATGGTTTATAAAATAGAACTAGATTGTGTTTAACATTCCAATCTGTATCTTTAGTAATAGATACACGTGTACATTATATAGCTGTGTGTATATATACATACACACATTTTGAGATGTTCCTACTATTCTTTTTCTGTCAGTTAACTGTAATGCATACCTATTACGCTCAGTCTTTTGAGTACAGAAAAGTGTTGCTCTTAAAATTGGATTAACTGTTGAAACAAGAACTTTCAAATTCTTCAAGATTTAAGGTTTTTTTTCCCCACATTAAGTATTTCTAAATCAAGGTAATTGTGTCTGTAAAGCTGAAATACGTCCTTTAGAAAGAAAACACAGTTGTAGTGTTTCAGTACTTCAACTGTTAGGGAATATGAGGGAACACGACTTCAGCTTTATCTGCTAACTGTTCTTGTTTTAAGTGAAGATTGAGAGGGAGTCTGACACTACTGGCACTTCTTGGGTACCAAATACTCTTTTGAATAAAAATCTTGTATTTGTTTCATTGATGGGAAGCTGAAGCAATAGTCAGTTAACATCCAGTCCTTTGGCTAGTTCTGCTTTCTGAGCAGCAGCACTGAGACAAGTATGATTGGGCAGCTTGCAACATTCTGGCCCCCAGACATCAATATTAAGCCATGAAATATTGCTGGATGCCAGAACTGGTTCTGAGTATGCTGGCGTGCCTGTGAGCCCCATCCTGCATCTTTTAACATGATGAACATCATTGAGATAGATAAGCTCCTACCTTTCTTTGGGAGCACTGTGTAGGTTGCTTCCATGCCTGCATGGATGTGGTCAGTAACGTGACAGTGTAATAGCCAAGTTCCAGGGTTCTGCGGGCTCATTTCCACAGTTTGAAATGTTCCAGGGAACAGATCAAAGACATCTGCCTGGTAAACCTCTGTTTGCTTCAGGACAGGAAGAAACAATGGTTAAATAGTGTTGCATTACCAGATGGCAGTAATTTAAGCTACCTTTTATGCATATTCCCACCAAATCTTTTAATCACGGTTGAGTGAAAAGACATTTACTGCATATAATTTCTACATAAACATTTTATACATCCGCTTCATGCTTAAAAGATTAATAAACTATCAACTAAGTAGAAATGAAGGAAAACTACAGCTGTTGTCTTACCACAGCCATGAAAATTCACAGCCCCCTTGTCGAAGTATCTTGTGATCTGTTCAGCATATGCTACTGGCAGATACTCTATGTATATTGTATATTGGTCAGACGCCGGTTTGGGACATAAAAACTTTACAGTCAAATTACAAGTCCTGCTTAATATTTTAACAACTGACTTTTTGTTGGAGATTACAGTCCTTGGTATTTGACATACCTTTCATTCTTAACACAGCGAGAAATGAGTGAAAAGGACCTGTTACCTTATAGACAAAGCTGTGGCCATGGAAGTGTGCTGTGTGAATGTCTATTTCATTGCCCATTCCCATCAAGTACCAGCTTACTTTATCCCCAACATGCATAGTCAGGCCATGTAAATTTCCAAACACCTTTCCATTAATGGCTAAAAAGAGGAAAACAGCAAGACAGAAAATAAATAAAACTTTGTGTAGTGTTCTTTAAGCTTTAATGGAATATAAGATTTGAAAGCCAATGCCAGGCAGAAGTAACAGTTTCGAACTGTATATGAAAACAAAGCAAGAGGACAACATATTACGAGTAAGTCTGATTATATTCCATATTTAACTAGAAAGCAAGAGGTAGTTAAAAGTTCTTTGCTGTACACCATTGTTAATATTGCAGTTCTTAAAGATCTGCATTTCCTGCAGCATTTTGTGGAGGGTAAGCTTTACAAGGATGCACATCGCCTTTCCAGCTTGTCCAGAACAATTGTTTGCTGACATTAAATCAAAATTTCAAATGTCATTTTTACATTTTTATTCCTTCTCCTGGAGGAATTTTATTCCTCCTCTGAAAATGCAACATGGAACAATTTTTTATAGGTTAAAAAAAAAAAAAAAAAAAGTCATTCAGTGGCACTAACTGTTTTCAAACAGTTTTGAGTGAAATTTTTCAGCCTTTGGTCCTGGAACTGAAAATTCAGAGGTGATGAGAAAGTCAAATTTATATGTACTATTTTCAAATACATAATTATATAGAGTTTCCAGAGTTACATTAACTAAATTAGGAACATACCATGCATTTTATTACTTTCAAGGAATTCTTCATCCTCTTTGTCAACAAGGTGTGGGTTGGTAGAATATGTTTTAATGTTTTCATCCAAGTACCATGACTCATTTTCATCGAAAACCATAAAAAGAAGAGCAAATTGAACTTTCTTTTTAATATGAAAAGATGGCAAGAAATGTCTGTGACACACAACGAGTGTGCCTATTAATCCACTGTAAGTGTCCTGAAATGACAAATAAAAAATCGTATCATTACAAGATGTGACCAAGCAGTAGCATTTTTTAATGCCAGACATGAATCCTCTTGCTATTTTTAGAGGTGTCAGTATCTGGGAATAAAGGTAGCCAGACAAACAAGGTTATTTCTTGACTGTTATGTGGTACCCATGGATCAAGTTCAATGTATGATGAAGAGCAACTGCCTCTTTTTCATCTCTTGCCAGAAATAAACATTTGTTCCATTTTAATTTCTTGCCCTTTTTTTTTTATGGGTTTTTTTTTCCAAAATTCTTTTTCGGTTTTAGGATTTTTAACTTGGTTTCCCTTCAAAATATACTTCTTGACGCTTTTTTATTTGTGTTTGCTTAGACACAAAGGAAAGAATCCTTTAATTTCTATTAAAAATTATTAGTCATATTAACAGGTGGCTTGTACAAAAATGTTGGATTTATGTTCCACAGTTGCATCTTAGTTTTCCACACATGACAGATTAGATATTGAGGAAGCTATAAAGTGTTAGCTTTAAGAATGAAATCTGAGTGAGGTGATTTATACCAACAGAAGAACCAGGAAACAAAACCATGAAGGGTTGTGGCTCAAATTCTGCCCTGACTTTCTTGCATTATTCAAAGAGATACATGAATTCAGAGGTATAGTAACAGGGGGAATAACTTGACAGAGAAAGCAGAAAGAGTTTCAAACTTCTCTTCCTTTTCCTGTAAGTGTATTTGTACTGAAGTCATGAGCAAAAACCTTTAGACTGATATTAATAATCTACCTTAATTATGTCCACCGTTGAATGGTACGCCCATGCAATGCAATGTGCATCTCCTCTCTCAGGACTAGATCTCTCTGGGATTTTCCAGACATACATTTTTGTTTCACCTAAATTAAATAAATATCAATTAATTTTAGAAGTTTTCTGTGTGCTGACCGGTAAGAGGTCATCCCAAAACAGATGTTATCTCTATAGCTGATATTTGTCTTGAACTTCCTCTTCCCAATTACTGCACTGGCCATCTTATTGTTACTTACCTTCTGCAAACCCCTGATTCTTTTTGCCAACACTATTTTTTTTGGTGGCTGTACTGTCCAGTTCACCATACCTAATAAAAACAATTGTATCTTTCATAAAGATTACAGAGTAACTTCTGAAATAACAGCTAGCATAAAACTACGCTCTCCCTATGTAGCAAAATCTGTTTGCTTTTATGAAAGGTACAGCCACACTTCATCAACAAATTACTGATCTGTCAAGAGCTAGGATACATAGCAATAGTTATCAGGGCCATTTTAATTGTAGAAATATTTTTTCCTACAATTAGAACCTGAAGTAAAAACAAAAGAAACAAACAAAAACAATGTCTTCTCTGCTATCCTAAAATGAAAGTTTGCTAAACCTTACTATAAGGCTTGATGTTCTGCTAGAAATAGACAAGAATGCTTTGATACCTGGGTTAGTTACAGCAATAACAGAACTGTCTGTTTTCACTCCATGGGCATGTATAGAATAAGGTCTTGATGCCAAGTTCTTAAAAACTATGATAATTTTATCTCCAATGTTTGACATAAGCAGTGGCCCTGTTGGATTGAAAAGAAAGATTAACTTGATTTTACAGAAGATTGGAGCAGACAGCAAGCCACACAGTTGCATTCAAATACACAACATTGGCTTATAATTCAACTAAAAATTATACACGGAAAATGTCATTCACTATGATGAGCCAAAAGTTAGACATCTGAAGTAGAGACCTAAGTCCCAAAGCACCATAATAGAAGTAGCAATTCCTTGTAGGTTTAAGCACTTACTGTGTACACAACTATACTCAACATTGTTCAAATAGTATCTTGTTTTGTTTCATTGCATTTTCCCCAGGTCAAAACTGAACTTCATGATGACTATACCTTGAATTTCCAGGTGGTTCTGCTCCTCTGTTCTGGTTTTGGGAGTACTGAATGTCTGATCAGTGTATTCACGATATACTACCTTTCTGTATTTTGACCCAATGAATTTGTCTTCTTTATTTAAAAATGGACTGCCAGGGCTGGGGGGAAAAAAAATAAAAAAAAGGAATTGTACATTTCTTCATGTATTTTAAACCATCTTTTTGCAGGCATGTCAATTAACCTTCAAACAAAAATCTAGCTCAGTGAAACAGTAATCTCATAGACCACTGGTATCTTCAACAAGAAAGCATTCTTGTTAAGCTGGGAGGTTTCTCTTAACTCAGAAGGTTTAAAAAACACTATAAATAGACCAAGTCTATATAATATTTGAGAGAATGCCAAGTATCTGGCCTGTCAGATATTTCAAATTGCAACAATTTGCATAATAAAAAAGAGTCTTCAGTGACTTCTGCAGATCTAAAATGAAGCTTAAAACTTCTAAAGCTTAAGTGCTTTGCTGAAATGAAACATGATGGACTAATTCTCTGCTGAGATCATGGGGGCTGAAGACCGTGGGGAAAAAAAGTGGTAACAGCAGAGTCCATGTTACTTGTGCTTAGAACTATGACAGAGCCCACCGGGGTGTGCAGGGCAAGGAAATGTGCTATGAAGCTGAAGAAAAAGAACAAAATACAATTAAATCAATAAAAAAATATAGGCAGTTACAATCTACTACTTTAACCTCAAATACAGGTGGAACACATAGAAATTAAAATTGTTTGGCCTCTTCTGCTCATTGCAGTTCTCTCACTGAGATTCAAATACTGGGACTAGAACACCAAGGTGACAAGCTTCATAGTGAATGGATTAAGTCATGAATTTATCTTGTGTAAACTAATGAAACTGAGAGAAGTAAAAAAGAACCTTACTCAGAGTACAGATAAATATGAGACAAAGAGATGTTATGTATTACATGGGACTCAAATTGGGAGGCCAGGTCTACTGGAGGCTGGTGGAAGGTCTAACGAAGGGGAAGAATTGTTTTGGTAGGAGACCTGCCAGGCTGGTCAAGAAAGCTTTAAACTACATGTGTTGGGGGAGGGGGGCATCGATCCATCCCAACACTCCCAGTCAGTTGCCAGCACCTATAATAAATGCTTGGAGCAATGTAGAGAGGTTTCAGCTGCTCCAGCCATGCAGTTGGCCTCATTTGGAGCTTGGCTCAGATGCCTCTATACAAATGCCCATAGTATGAGGAATGAACAAGAGGAATTAGAGATGTGTGCAAGGCTACAGGGATATGTCATCATTGATATCACAGAAACATGGTGGGATGGCTCCTGTGACTGGAGTGTTGGAATGGAAGGTTACAGGCTCTTCAGAAAAGACAGACCCGGCAGACGGGGAGGGGGAGTTGCTATTTATGTCAGTGATAGGCTGGAGGCAGCCTTGGCTGTAGCAACCATGAGATGGTTGAGTTTGAAGTTCTCAGGACAGTGAGAAGAGCATGCAGCAAGCTCACTGCCCTGGACTTCAAGAGAGCAGACTTTGGCCTCTTCAGGAACCTGCTTAGTAAGGTTCCATGGAATATAGGCCTAGAGGGCAGGGAGGTCCAAGACTGCTGGTTGATATTCAAGGATCACCTGCTACATGCTCAGGAGTGTTGCGTCCTGACTACAAGGAAGTACGGCAGGAGGGCCAGGAGACCTCCATGGATAGATAAGGAACTGCTGAGGAAACTTAGAGGGGAAAAAAAGAAGCTTATAGAAGGTGGAAGCGAGGACAGGCAGCCTGGGAAGAATAGGGACATTGTCTGGGAAGCCAGGGATCAGGTTAGGAAAGCTAAGGCCCAGTTAGAATTAAATCTGGCAAGGGATGTGAAAAATAAGAGAAAAGGCTTTTATAGGTACGTAGCAAATAAAAGACAGACTAGGGACAATGTGGGCCCTCTCCAGAAGCTACCGGGAGAACTGGCTACCCTGGATTTAGAGAAGGCTGAGGTTCTTAATGACTTCTTTGCCTCAGTCTTCACGAGCAAATGCTCTGACCATACCACCCAAGTCTTGGAAGGCAAACACAGGGACTGTGAGAATGAAGACCTTAGGCCCACTGTAGGGAAGGATCAGGTTCGAGACCATCTTAAGAACCTGAATGTGCACAAGTCCATGGGACCTGATGGAATTCATCTGCGGGTCCTGAAGGAGCTGGTGAATGAAGTTGCTAGGCCACTGTCCATCATATTTGAAAAATCATGGCAGTCAGGTGAAGTTCCTGATGACTGGAAGAAGGGAAATATAACCCCCATTTTCAAGAAAGGGAAGGTGGAAG